TTGGACACCATTAGCACCCCTGCCAACCCCCTAAACGGGATACAGACCTATAAGTTACAATATAAAAATGATTATTAGAATCATCCCAACTTTCCTTATTCCACAGGTACAGTGGATGCCCTGGAGAAGGAACACAGCGACGCCAGCGAGGGTGGTCTGATGGAACCAGACCAGACAATCGAGATCCTCATGTCAGACTTGGATCCTGCTGTCATGGACATCTTCACACGACAGTACTCTGCTGACGCCGCCGCCGCTACACGGGTAAGTTAGAAATAAAATAAAAATTTAATTATAATTGAATACTCTTAAAAATTAAAAATGCATGAAATTAAGTCAAAAGATTTTTTTCGAAAATACGACTCACCCACGTGGATTCACTGAGAAAAGCTCAACTAGTTTCAAGACAAACCGGAGCTCTTATTCATGTAAAGCATGCGTGTCCCTGCTACTAGGAGTCCCGTTGTGACTTAGGCTTACATAGGAACAGAATAAATATTTTGTCTAATACTATGAATTGATGTTTAAAGTAAGTCGTAAAATGTGCTGCTAGTCTCAAAACTTTGATGGGAAAACCGATTTCGCTAATGCCTTTTTTATATACCTACTGTGCTTCTTATTATCAGCAGAATTCTTTTTATTGAAATTCCAATTTATTTATGTTTAAAATATTGTTTACAGGAATCGGGCATAGACAAGATTATACCAGGGATGGTGATTGACGATTTCCTCTTCGATCCATGCGGATACTCCATGAATGGGGTTGCTAAAGATGTAAGTTTTTTTATCATAACTTACTTACTTAAAATTAAGATTCATCATCATCGTCATCATAAGCTGGTAGACGTCCACTGCTAAACAAAGACCTCCCCCTTAGTCCTTTACGTCGAACGACAAGTTGCCACCTGCATCCATTGGCTCCCCACGGCTCTGACGATGTCGTCAGTCCACCTTGTACGAGGCCTGCCCAGTGCCCACTTATTATTAATTATGATAAAAATAAAACCCATTACATAAAAATTACTGTGATATTATCGGAACAGTTTGCAGACTAAAGAGCATTTTTGCGCCACTAGAGGCGCTAATGTAGCTTTAGGTCCAATTTTATTTTAATATCAAATCATTAGTCAATTAACTTCGATAAGTAAAAGTAATCATTATTGTAGTCACTGGGACCATGAAAATTTTCATAAAACTCATGGTAGAATCTTTTGACTGTGTAACCCAGCTTCTGTGTCTGTGTGTATGGTAAAAGGTTGAACAAAAATACAAAAGTAATGATTTATCAATGTTAAATGTTCACGCTGCTAAAGGGAGCTAAGGATTTACCATCAGTAAGTTGTCTTAGTGAATAGTGTAATAAATTATACCAAAGCAAAGTATAAAGTATATATTTTTCTACTATAAAACAATTTTTTTACTATTATTATTATCAATTTCTTTGTAAAAAAGCTTGTATCATTGTACTGACGCACGTGTATCGTTTGTGTACAGGGCTGCTACATGACGATCCACATAACCCCGGAGCGGTCGTGCTCGTACGTGTCGTTCGAGTCCAACGTGCCCGTGTCCTCGTACGACGAGGTCATCGCGCGCGTGCTGCAGGCCTTCCGCCCCGCCAAGTTCGTGCTCACCGTCTTTGCTACACCGGTACGTAAACATCCCACGTTTTGTTGCCACCACGTCTTGAGGTGGAACAGGAAGCCTTCATCAATCTTATTTCTTCTTGCAGGACTCTCCAGGTGCATCCGCAGCCCGCGAACTGAAAAAGTTCCCAGCGCTGGGCGCGTACTGCCCGCTGGAGTCCCAGCACTGCCGGTTCTCGGGCTACGAGCTGCAGTACGCCCTGTACGCCAAGTTCCCGAGCTGAGGAGCCGCCCGCCCCGCGCCCCGCGCCCGCGCCCCGCCGCCTGCCGCGCCCCCCGCGCCCCCGCGCCGCCGGCTGTCCGAGCTGCTGGGGGCGCCGCGGGCCGAGCCGGCCGCGCCCCCGCGCCCCCCGCGCCCCCGCCTGCTGGCGGCGCTGGGGCGCGCGGCGCGACTGCTGTGCTGCGAGACCGCGCCGCCCGCCTGAGCGACAGACTGACTCTTCCATTCCATTAAGTGATATATCTTATCTAGACGTTACCTTAGTGTCCGACTATCTTGTGTGGCGTCGATCCTTGCGATAATTAACGTAGCGCTGCTCATTAGCGAACTATGTAACGCGAGTAGGCGATGTGCGGACTCGTGCAGACTCGTGCGGGCTCGTGCGGGCTCGTGCTGGCTCGTGCAGGCCGCGCCGCCCGGACAGGCGGCGCAGGCTCGCGCGGACATGCGGCGGTGGACTGGCCGCGAACAAACGCGGGGCGTGCACGCTCACTCTCTCTGAGATTTAAAAATCAAATAAAAAGATTTCGACTTGTCATTCGACTTTTATTTATAGTCTAAAAGCATGAAATACCCTACCTTCATTCCTGTACCTAGTACAGTTGTTGTACTTGTAGAAGACAATGTAACCCAATTCTGACGCGTTACTATAATAAGATACGCGACATCAAACGACTAGGCACTGGTAAAGTTGTAATTGAATTGAAAAGTGTTAAAACGGTATCATCCCTATTATATAACTTTTGTTATATTTTACACAGATATTCTTATAAATCAACACCCTATCGCTCGCTCCCAAAACATCACAGACTTATTTAAATACATAGAGAATTTAAATTCCACAAAAAAAAATATTTTAACGAACGGCATTATACGGATAGACAAATGATTTAGTTCATACATAGTCCACAAAAAATAAAATCTAGGGTTCCTAGCAAAAGAATTCTTCCACTAAGGCTCTAGAAGACAGCTTCAACACTTGTGAAAAAATCGGTTCATAACCATTTATAAACATTGTTTTCAGGAGACTGCCCATGTAACGCCTTAGGCTAAAGTGGGCCCCTGCAAGACAATTTGTTGTAGACAATTAGGGCCATGCAAAAATCACTCTTGTGTATATGTGCATATTTCGATGTCCACTTAGTTTGCTATCGTCACATCTATTTATAAGGAATTTCATATAATTGTACATTAGTTTGATTAAATAAAATAATGTCATGAAAAAGAATTCGAGAAGCTACAAGTGGGTAGCTTAGCAGCTTAGAACTAGTCTCGTTATCTACTGCTTCAAACTTTTAAATCTAGAGGTTCTATAAAAAATAGGTACTTAACGAAACTTTCACCATTATATAGTAAAACCAAAGTGTGGAATAACCATGCTTCGGCTCGAAAATAATCTCAGCGTTGTGTTTCCCCTTGTCAGTGGGGCTAATCTAGACTCTAGACCATCAACGTGCTTGTTACTCCTCTGGTGTTGAAAGTGTAAATGGGCGTTGCTGATTGCTTACCATCAGGTAATCCGTCTGATCGTTTGCAAAAAAATATAGGGCGGGAGTGACTTTATGCTGGAATTGGTCAAGTCTATGTAGTCAGTCCTATGCCTAGCTTATCATGAGTTTCGTAACACCGTGTGTGACACACGTTAAACATATCTTGTCAAATGTTTTACTGAGCGATTCCTCCCCCGTAAGGATAAATTTGCTGATTGTGAGAAATGGTGCGGGTGCCACAGCAATGATGCAGATCCTGCGGCCCGGTTCAGAGCAGGAGAAGGACCGGTTTATGAGAAACAGTAGAAAACACGTTGTGTCTCGCGTAGATCTGGGCTCCAGCGATATCACGGGTTACGAGTTTGACATTCCGTCCCGTCCCACCCAGGCGGGAGAAGTCATTTAATTATTTCCAACTAAAAAAGGGAACGACGAGACGAGAAGTGAATGACCTTAAAAGACCATCTAGATTAGTCTACAGTAGGTCTGAAAGACTTCTCTGTAATATCATAGAACCACAACTTATGCTTTTTATCGAAAGCTCCATGAGACAGTCATGAAAAAGGCCAATGTTTTAGGTACCTACTAACATTAAAGTCGGAGATTCAGAAGGAGCGGATGTACCTTAGTCAGTAATGGGATGTATCTTAGTCAGTAATGGGATGTATCTTAGTCAGTAATGGGATGTATCTTAGTCAGTAAGAGTCTCCGACTCTCTCGCCCCACCCAGGCAGGAGGTTGACTTTGATGAAATTCTCTTACAAAAAAAGGGAATAATAAAAAAACAAGTTCAAATTTTTTACGAAAATATATTTCATACAATTGATTACATTGAACAAATAAATATAATTAATTCATAAACATCCATGTAATTAATACACCGAATACATCACAGAAATTGAAGTAGGTATTATCATCAATAAATAAATTAAAGTAACCATAACATTATGTTTTCTGATTTTAAAAGGTATAAAAAAAGATGAACACACTCTGAAACTACATTTCTGTAATAAGGGACGATACTTTGAGCAATTAAAAAAAATATTTTGAACTACAAATTGTCAATTATAATCGACCGACTTTAAGGACAGTTTAAGTATATATAGCTAACAATACAATAACGTATCATATCAATAAATATAATTTATAAATAACATTTATCTTTCAAAAATATATTATTTCTCTCAACCTGGACATCGAACCAACACCTTAGTCTTAGAACATCCACAACCATTTCATAACTTAAGTGAGTGATGAATTAAGCTTATTAACTATACTTATAGTTATTTTAACAATGGAAGACTTGGATCACAATTTACTTAAAGTTATTAACATTATAAGAAAATGCATACATTTGATCGTTAAGGTACTTTCGATAATGTTTCAGACTCATTACATTGACAGTGCACGAAGATTAAAAAATCTGTTTAGTCTGTCAGTTCAATAATCAAAATTTAACATAATATTAGACAATTAAGTTACTCTTTATTTTGTCTTGTAACGAAACAATACTAAGGTAAAACGAATTTAAGTTTCAGTTCACGAATGGGACGTATGTTACGTGTAGTGAAAAGTAGGTATCAACAAAGTTAGTCAAAGCTGCAGATAATCTGAATTCTAGAGTATTATTTGAGTCTTAGACGCATATTTTTATAAATAATAAATATCGGTTCATATCTGAGCATACCTACGATATGCTAGTAGACGTTTTACACGGGACGAATTATCGCATTTTGTGTTTTAAAATAACATATAAATTGAATAGCTAATCTGAGTATTATACTTAAAAGTACGGATGGAATGTAGCTTATTGAAAATTATTATTAAATCTGTTCACAATAAAAGCACTGATTTCACATAAAATGACACCCAAATAAAAGCCTACTGCAGTATCTGGCAGGGCGGGACTACGCCCCCTAGGGCTTCGCCCAGGTGCTGGGCCACGGCCGCGCAGAGAGCCTCCTGGCGGGGCGCCGCTACTACTTGTATGCCAACTGGTACTTTGTCACTGTTCAGCCCTAGAGGAATCTGTAAATAATATTATTATTTTGTTAATATTTATAACTAGCGGCCCACCCCCGCTTCGCACGGGTCCAACTATCTCGCTATCAAAGGGTCACTTTTTCCTAAACTTCCCCTTTTTTAATATTTTCTTTGATAAGAACCTTCTCCTGACAATAACAAACACAACAAAAACAGAATTACCAAAATTGGTCCAGCCGTTGTTGAGTTATGCGCTTACCAACACATTTTGCGATCCATTTTTATATATAAGAAGACTGGCGCCCCTGACTTCGCACGGTTGCAATGCTGATACTAGATACCTCCACTATTCAATTAATGTTATTTATTGCAATTGTTATACATATTATAAACCTTCCTTTAAAATCACACTATTTATATCAAGAAAACACGTCTAAATCCTTTGCGTAGTTTTAAAGATTGAAGCATACATAGACAACAACAACATACCACAAACCAGGCAAAGCCACTTGCGGAAGCTAGTATTTAACAAATAAAATGATGTAACAGAATACCTGTACCTTTTTTTATTAAGGTTTATATTTTATTATGATAAATACTGTTGTCCTATGTTAATTTGATTAGCTCTAGTCATAATTTGTCTGTACAAATGCATAATTTTATACCACTCGGGCGAAGCCGCGGGCGGAAGCGAAATAAATAAATAAATACCTGTGCAGCGGGGAAATGCAGCGCGTTGAAGATGGCCCAGTAAGCGAAGTTGAAGGGCCGCACTATGGGGGAGTAGTGGTACGGAGCCACTAGTGGACTGCTGGGGAATAAGAGGACTCCGTCGTCGCCCAGCAACTTCTGTAAATTCGTAAAATGTATATATATAGTAGGAAATCATTTGAAGAATGGACAAATACTTTTGGTTGTAAATAAATAACCAGTAATATAAACTCACAGAATACCGGCGTGAAACAACCCACAGCGTTGTGTTTCGCCGTGTGAGTGAGGTTACCGAAGGCCCAATCCCTCCCCTTCCCCTATCCCTACCCAATCCTTATATCCGCAACCCCCATCCCCAAAAGGCCGGCAACGCACTCGTAACTCCTTTGGTGTTGCGGGTGTCCATGGGCGGCGCCGATTGCTTACCATCAGGTAATCCGTCTGCTCGTTTGCTGACTTATATCATAAAAAAAGTCAAATATAGCAAGGCCCTCAAGCTTCAATGAACAAGATGTAGCACAAAATTTGGCAATATAAGTAGTTCACAACCAGATATTTAATTCTACTGACCTACATTATATTATAATATAAATAAAAAGGTAAGTACGTATGGATGTTCATTACTCTTTTAAGCGATAACAACGGAACGGAATTATTGTCTTGAATAAATAATTGGAAACTACTAAATTATATAGTTTACTAGCTGTTTGGTTTCACTCCTTTTGATTGTAGCGTGATGTTTTATAGCCTATATCACTCGGGAACGTTGTAGCTATCAATAAGTGAAAGAATTTTGGGAATCCGACCAGTGGTTTCAAATATTACCCCCTACATACAAACTTACAAATTTTACCTCTTTATAAAATTAGTATAGAGGTGATAGGCTAATCGAGCTGATGTATTGTAAGTTATCGGCGCCGCCCATGTACATCCGTAACAACAGAGTATTTTCTGTATGTTTCCGGCCTTTTGGGAATTTAGGTATTGGGGAGGGACGGGGAAAGGGGAAAGATTGGGATTGTGCCTTCTGTAACCTCACTCACACGGCGAAACATAATTCCTAATTCACTTACAATAAGATCATCCGTTAAGTCCTTTGTGAGTTTTTCCGCCCACTCTTTATTGACAGGGGGCAGCACTTGATCGTCCAGCAACTTCAGTATGGCAGGTAGTGTGTAGTCGGACAAGCCCAGCAACTAGAATAACAAGAAGTTGTTGTTAATCACCTGTTCTGGTTTTCGAACTACGTCATAAGAACCTTCTTTCTTTTCTCAAAACATAACTGATCCTGAGTCACACATCACACCCAGACCTGAAACAACAATTTGTGGATTACACAAAGAGCTGTTCTGCGCATGAATCGAACCTGCGACAAATCGCACAGCAGCTAATTACCCAGCCAGCAACCCAGCAAATTATTCCAATCCTATTTATATTACACTAGTTGCTC